ACACTAGATACTCTTACACTGAGAGTGCGTGCCGTAGAAAGTGGGTCACTTGCTGGTTACTTGCGTCTCTTGCCATCAGTACGTCATGTAAACATTACAATTATTTGCTCCTCTATGGATGAAGTTGACAGTAGAGTGGATATGCTATTCGATTCCTTTGATACTGTGGATCAAAGTCATTACAGCAGCTTAATAGATGTGTTTGGTAGAAAGGCGCTATTAGTAATTGACGATCGTTTGTCAGATAAAATGACGTATTTGGTGGATATACAACGCAAAAATAGAACAACATGGGAACGGACTGAAAGAGTAAGCGAGAACCCTTTGATCAAATTTGTCGTCCACATAAATCCGAGTGATATTCATAATATGCCCATTTAATCTATTTTGTTAGCGCTATGACTCATAATGCGCTTAGTATTAGACTTTCCAATAAAAGCATGGCATATTTTGCCAAGTAGTCTCTTTCAGCTTTCACCAACTCTTTAATTAGTGTGATCCTAAACAACTCTTCCAGATTATGCACCGTTAGGATGCTAGCCCAGCCTTCTCTTTTCTGGCTGTAGTAGGTCAATAATGCTCAGATATTTGATACGCTATAGGGACAAAGCTCTCATCTCAACGCTCCAATCCCACGGCAATGCAGTTGGCATAGTCAACCAATGGTAATTTGGATTGTCGCGTAGAGGCAAATGTGAAAAAAAAAAAGAAACACTAAGTCTTCTTGAAATATGCTTTGAGAAACCTGTTTTTATTCTTTTTTATCATTTCGACGCCTACTCTGTAGCTACACCAGCCATCACCTTCAAGAGTGAATGTAAACAAGGGATACAGTCCTTCCGCTTTCAATTGGATGTCTTTTTGAAAATAGCAGTCGAACTTTTAATATTTTATTGCGCATGGCTCTTCCACTCCCCGATACTTTTGGGTCAATGCCACCAGATATTGCACCTGTATCACCCAATATTAATCCAAGTGCTCCCTCTAGCGCTCCTCATACAGACGCTGATATTGTCAACTCTCCACAACCAACTGCAACTTGTACCTATGCCGCGACCGCTTCCTTTCCATTAACAGCCAAGGCATCTCTCAAAGGAATCTCTACAGTTCGGAAGGAAATCTCTTTGTACCGATCCTTTGAGTCTACCAATGAGACAACCCAGTTGACTTATTCGATTCATCGAACGGGTACCAATGATCACTGTGTTTTATTGCATTCCCCATCGTCTCAAGAACCTCAAAGCTCCTTTCAGCATCGCCCTCAGTTAAAAGTATCCTTTCGGTGTAGGATTGGATTTTACCACTCATGAAGACATCCAAGGCACGGTCATCGAAGTTACCCTCATTTCTGCTGAACACTGCAAAGAAGCTGTAGTGACCCCCCTAGTCATTGAAAATCAAGTTTTTACTGCCTCACCTGCTGTACATCCGGGCCGTGCACTTCTGAGAGTAAATTTAACTAAGATTCCTATCATGCCTATTGAGCAGTTAAGAGATAAGCTATTGAATAGCTTCGCTCAGTACGGTATAGTTAGAGAGTTATTTATCTTGATGACTAGGCCCAGCGCTGGTTTTCCGGTAATGGGTGCATTTACCTGGAAAGACCGCCTAGCTCTGAAATTAAGTTTGATCCTTTGACATATAAGATACCTCTTGATGGTGACCATTCATGCTTGGGTACGTGGTCCAAAATGGACAAACATTGCATTTACTGTAAGGCTATGAGCCATATTAGGAAGGATTGTCCTTCACTTTCGACTGAAACGCGTACCTGCTTCGTATGCCATAGCCGTAGTCACATCGCTCGCAACTGCCCTAAGGTTACAAACCCTAATCAGACAGCCTCCAAACGCCGTCGGCCTATTCCTGTCGACAGTAGTTACGAAGTACCTGTCACTGTTCTTTCTCGCCCTGCTAAAACACTATTGTCCACTATCGTCCACTACTCCACCAACTTCTCCCGAACCAGTACTACATGAAGTTTCAACGACCTCTGAGGAAGTAGCCTCTGCACCAGTCCTCAAGCATCAAACAACGGCCCCGATGCCTAATGCAGACTCCTCAGTAGACTTTGTCTTCGTCCCTACTCCCGTACAGGAGAATGTTGCTACTCAGCCAATATTAGACCACACAACGTCAACAGAAATCTTAGGCGATGTCGATATGAGTGATTCTGACAACGAATCTATGGTTTCTTCGACGCCTTCTATCAAGAAATCTGCGGCTAAAATCGCTAAAAATAAGGCATCCATTAACCCTACTCACAAATGTTCTCGTCTTAATAAGGATCAAAGTGGAGAGAAGTTTCATGATCCCAAACATTCCACGTTAGGCACATCGGCCGCTGCTACTACACATTTGGGCCATGGGGCGGAGAATGCTACTGACACGGACAGTTCTTCTCCATCTCATTAAGTAAGTCTTCCATTTTAAATTACACATTCCAGTCCTTTGCTAATTATGAGTAATCTATGAATAATCTTATGAATAACAATAATAATTCCAACTTTAGCGAC